ATGCCTCGAACTGGGAGAATTGGTCAAAAGCACGTCTAGGAACGCTTTCGGTCGTTGCTTGAACGAAATAAAATAATATAAAAAAGAAACGGTCACCTATATTCGACCCAGTGAAATATCTGCAGGGTAACGCACGCGCGATATAAAACGTTCATCGGCACCGATTCGATTGCGGCCAAAAAACTGACTTCATTGAAGCATTAATTCGACGTTCGAAAACATTCAGCACGCCGGTTAAAAGTTTGTTGTTTAATCACTGACGCATATGGAGTTCGATCAAGTGTCGATTATGACTAAATAAACATTGACTAAATCAATTTTGTAATTAACGAAGAAAATCTGAAAAATCTCTTACAGGAATTATTAAAATATTTCGTAGAATCCATCCATGCATATTCTGTTTAGAATTTAGAATAGGGTGGTCAAGACACCCTTTTCGACGATCATACAAGCGTGTCGCGTAAGTGTCGCGCACTGTCCCTTATTCAGTCACCCACAGAAACGATTCGAACGGAACGCAGCGAGATTATTAACGTACAAACGACGAATTAAGATAACGAGCTGATCGCTCGAGGAAAAGAGGACGACGCAAGCTCGAGTCCACCCCTCGACGAAGGTAGATATCGCATAGATGTTTAGCCCCGAAGGGAACACGGTGACGTCTGTGTTCCAGTGTATCGTTTTGATCGATTGTCACGGGCACGCTAGGCGCGCACGAGCATCTACGTTTTCGTGCAGGGTGCTCTAATCGCGGCCGCTGTATATTTATTGGACGGTCGTTATTGCGGAAACGACGATTTGTCACGGAGCGGGGTATTAATTACACTGAGAGGGTGGAGGGGGTACCTTTGTACAGATAACGGACGCAAAGGGCCTCGACGTCGTCGTCAGAGACGCGGGACAACCTGTTTGAATAGAAATTGGCCTACGGAATGGGAACCGGGACACGAGCAACTTCCGAAAATTAATTGCTACAGCTTTCGCGACAAGCGTGCCGGGACGCGTGGGTGTCTTTAATCGTAACCACGGTCACGTGACCCGGCTCTGACGGTGATTCGTAATTCGTGGATAGAGAAAGTCGATTGGTCGATCTTTTCTGAAGTAGAGAAATATTCGATGCAATAGAAATGATCTGTGTAATGGAATTTATTTATTCGTTTATCTGTATGTTATGGGAATTCATTTACTTCTGTTTAATGGAATTTTAGTGGGTTTTATTTATAAAGGTAGAAAGTCATAACTTAACATTTGTTCACTTCTTACATTCATTTAATTATTGCATGTGCTTAGATACCTCTCTTCGTGATTTTCTCATTAAGTTAATTATTCATTTATTTGTATGTTATTAGAATTGATTGTACTATTTATTTATATTGAATAGCATTAGTGAGTTTTATTTATAAGGGTACGAAGTCATAACGTAACTATAACAATAAACATATCAGTCTTGCATTTTTGTTCACTCTTTCATTTAATTTTCTCTTTCTTTAATTTCATTTCATTTTTCCGACCATTTGACGTTGAAATATCGACGCCCAGGCGTTGAATCGTTAATTAACAAATAACAAAAAGTATCACTCTTTACATTCATTTAATTATTACATATGCTTACGTACCTCTTTTCGTGATTTTCCTATTAAGGAAAAGAAACAAAAAGGATAATACACGGTGTTCCTAAAATCTGGACACTCTATACACCTTTTTCCAATAGCAGGTCTCCGACCTATTTAAGGATCACAAAAAATCACGGTACCAATCCGCACCGTATCACCTCAAAATAAAAACCGCACCGCGGCTGATTGATTAAAGCGAACAGGAGTACCGGGAATCAAAGGACTACATCGAATAACGATACTAAAACGCTTCCACGCGTTTCTTCCGCCCGAGAAGACGGGATCCATCCTCGCCCGGTTTTTTTTTTTTTACGTGCTCGCGTAATTACAATTAGCGATTCCCGATCGGGGCAACGAGCAAAAAGAACACTCCCTTCCCCTTCCGTCCCGGTGGTTTCGCGTTTTAATTCGTGTTCCCGCGGGTGGAGCGCATTTTTCAATTTCATGGTCGATTACAGCGCCGGGGAAAAGTTGCAAAACGTTGCTGAAAGCGGTAATCAACGATTCCACAGAGTCAGCGATTCCCGATAAAATCTTCTCCGCGGTCGCGGCGCGGCAGAAGCGGGTCGGTGAATGTAAAAGTTTTGAAAATCGATCGCCCGGTTAAAGAGTCGAAAGAGACCGAGGAACGAGAAGCTAGGAGGAGGGGAGTGTGTACGGATATGAAAGAGAACCGTGAGGGGGGAATTTATGCCAACCGATGACCATAATCATTTGACGGGAAACCACGGATCGTCGCGTACAGGCTATAATTCCGTCTGGTTGATTCGTTTTGCTCGTTGATACTCGTTAGATCGAGGGTGGCGCGGCGCCGCGCTCTCGCTATCGCTCGTTTTCCCCTGTCGAACGTCGTCCTGTTATTTCTAAATTCCCTCTGAAAGCTGGCATCAAAAGCAGAAATCGCGTCGGATTCGGCGCTAGCAATTTTTCCGACGTTTCCTGCCCGATCGTGGCGTCGCACAATGGGACGAACCGCTAGAGAACATTTGAATTACCGTAGTTTTATACTTGGGAGTTTGTCGGCTGTATGATACTAACGAACGGGAATTGGAAACGGTAGACAGTTTGAAAGTTGATTTTTGGATCGCGAATTTATATCGAGAATTCTCCATCGAGGGATTCAGGATTTTATTTTTTGATTAAATATTGGTGGAATGTATCCAATTTACGTAATTTATATGATATTGTCGTGACTGATTCACCGACGCGCGCGAAGTGAGTGTGTGGCGAGCACGTGCGAGAAGGAAAGACAAAAGGACACGGGCCCGAGAGAGTCAGTCGAGTTTAGCGCGCCGAACCTTGCGTTGTAACACCAATCGTTTATTAAATATAGTATTTTTCCTTTGCATAAAATCGTCCGTTGTATCTCCTACCGTTGATCCCACAATGTGGAATTACCGTAGTTTCATTTTTCGTAAGTTTGTTGGTGTTACTGTCTGATAGTAACGAACGATGACATTTTGAAGGTTGATTTTTCAATCGCGATTTTATATAAAGAATTTTCCATCAAAGGATTCAAGATTTTTTTTTCTGATTAAACGAATGGTGAAATGGAATATATTCAGTTTATATAATAGGAGTATGTGCAATGTATATATAATCTATTTTAATAATAATAATATATGTATTAACCCTTTGCTGTCCTATGTCGAGTCTTGCTCGACAGAACTGTCCTCAAATCAAAAAATCAGGACTGCAAGAATTGAAGTATATATAACTAACATTACTAACATTACTATATAATATGTGTACACTCACTGTAGAACGCAAAAGAGTTCAATATTCTACACGTACTTTCGATTATACAATTTCAAGGGACTTCAATTTTCAACTGCACTAGAATTTCAAAAGATGGAATCCAAATTTCGTAACTAACGAGAACGTCTGTGCGTGCACAGACGACTCGTGAATTAGTTACACTAAGTAGATCCGGAAAATTCGAAACTTCTGCTTCGCACATTCGGCCGCGATTTCGTGAAAATTCGCCGTGGTGGTTCGATAGATTTTTTTTTCCACGGATATTCGCTGCGATTCGGTGTTTGATCGAACGCGACACCGATCAAACGTGCTCGCGGTCGGGATATAGGGGAAATTAATGCTCGTCACCGATTGTTTGGAGTTAATTTGAAAATTAAATGAAGGTTAATCGCAGAGTCTTATCGAGCGAGCAGTCGATTCCAATTAGGTTCGGTTAATTCGGTTTCGCGTTCGGGAGGGCTCGTAATCTCGTTTCGAATTAATAGGAACCTCGAGCCTCTTCTGTGCCTGCGTAATCGAACGACGATTCGAAATGCTTATTAACGAAATATTAGTGATCTAGTAAAAAAAAATACTGAAATTGTTCATGGTAATAATTTAGTCTTGATAAGACTTAATGTTTATGGTGAACAGGCTTGTCGACATTTTTGGACGATTCTGTGTATAAAGTGAGAGTAATTAATATTAACTCAGAAGGGAACAAAAATTTAAATAATTGTTTATGCGAGAGAAAGCATATAGGATTATTTTATAATCAATGCGTCGTCACAAGTAATTAATGATTTTGGTGATTAAGATTATTCTAAATACTTGTAGAAACCGATAGAAATATTTGCGATTCGTTTTATTTGAATTTTTATGGTGGTCCAATTTAGACTACACCATCCAAAGTGAAGGAATAAGTTTTCAATTGTTGGTTTCTTAAACGAATCAGAATTGGTTTATTTTCTCGACGGACTGGTAATGACAAACTCGAGGTTTCAGTTCGTTAAACACAAAAGATAAACAAAAGGCTCTGTCTAAATAAACCACGTGCCACCATTTATGAACTATATTCATTCTCCAAACAGGATCCAAAATAAGAGAACGTAACTCCCGAAAGATACCTATCAACGATCCTTCATAAGCAACAGAAACAAGAAAGAATGAAAATAGACACTTCTCTGACGAATTCATGATCACTGGGGACGCTCTTCTAAACTTTAAGAAGCCCCCGGTGAAATTTTCGTCCCCGTAGCGTAACGACGCCCGGATAAAGAACGGAAGTTTAGGATTTTAAAAAGCGCAGGGAATCTTTATTGGCGTTGGTTAACGAAACGCCGGCTCGGGGACAGTTTCGGGGCTAGGGAATTTTTACGCGGTACCTTTACGACGCAACTTTTCATATCGGCTATAAAACTCCACGGTTGCGTAAAACATGAGACGAAATTTTTTTTTCTACCCCTCGTCGGCGTTTCTTGTTTTTAGTTTCCTTTTTTTTTTTTATTCTTCGTCTCTGAACTCGGCTCGAGCGTCGCGAGTGAACGAGTCTCGTTTCTCTTCTTTTTTTTCTCTCCTTTTCGTTCGCTAAACGACGCCACGAATTGGCAATTTCTTTTCTCGCGTTGGAAACAAATCGTTGCGGCTTACCACTTTATCTCCCAAATTTCGCACGCGGCAGGGCAGGTAGACGGTCTGACCGACGAACGCGCTGACGTTCGCTGCCGTAGGTTCGAACACTGGCGCATCTCCGTCGGTTGAGTCGTTACTGGCGTCGTTCGGACGTCGTTGCGGACTCTCCTTCGATATTTGGCGTACTTGCACTGGGGCTGCGAACAGAACAACGTTTCTATGAAATTAGGTTTCGTTAAAAGTACAGTGATCAGGGTTGGCGGAGAGTCTGGGTTACGTTGGATGCAATTTCTTCGACACTTTTGAAAATGAGAAATTTTTGACGATTTTCAGAGATATGTATTTTAGAAAGAAGGTCTTGAAGGTTGTTTGGGGTTTCAATGATAGATTTGATAGAGGATATAATTTGATTGAGGGCTGACTAAGTTTCAGAGCACTCAGATTAGATTAATAAATGATGTTTTTATAAATAGATATCATTCTTGTTCGTTTTGAATTGCGTTGTCATTACTGAATAGTCAATCATCAGATTCGTTTAATTCTTCATTAGAAATAGATGAATTTAGTTATTCAATCATATTTTGGAGCAGTCGAATAGAATTAATAAATAATGCTCTCTGAATATCATTCTTACAAATATTTTATTTATCCAGGAAAAAACAGCACTGGCCTCCAATGCCTGGACCAATGGTGAAACCTTAAATTCATCTAATTCTTGCTTAGAAATAAATGAAATTACTCATCCAACCACATTTTAGTAGGCTCAAATGGAATTAATAAATAATGCCCTCTAACTATCATTCTTACTAATATTTTATTTATCCAAAAAAACAACAACAATGTCCTCCAATCCCTGCATTGTTATTCCTGAATTTTGAAACATTAGATTCATTCAATTTTGTCCTAAGAAATGACATTTCAACGTCAACATTTCATACGTTCAAAACATCCATTGTTAATCCACTGCAACTTTAATGAGAAACCTCGCAATGAATATGAGCTATTAATTCCACGTCTGAGTCCATACCGTAATAATTGGACAAAGTAACAGAAACATCAGTTCGCGTCAGTAATTCGAAATTTCACGGTATTTTTCATAAGCGCATCGCGGAGGTAATTAATGTTACTGAGAAATGTAGAATTTGCAAATTGTGCGAGATTTTCATGAATGTATCCGGTGCTATTAATTCGGGGGCGCAAAGTAATTATTCAAAGGCTGGAACTCAAGTATCGTTCGTTTCACAGAAACATTCTACGATTAAATATAAATATGACGCGTAGGAAAAGGAGTTTATTACGAGGAGTTGATTACAATTAATCGTTCCAGAGTTTGAGCGTAAAATCAAACTGGTTATTGAAATAAATTTACATTTTGCTAGGTCTTTGCTGATGGACGCGTTAATAAATTTCATTCAACACGTTTCATATTAAATAGAGCTGTACGTTCAAATGCTTCCGAAATTAAAATGCTTGAACGAAGAATAAATTTCATATTAGCTCCTGCGTATTTTATTCGAATAATTCAAGTCTGTTCAGACAGAATAAAATTCCAAAAACGTGTCGATATCGCTATCACAAAAGACAAAATAATTTATCACGCAGGAATCCGGAGCACGATGAATACGCAAAGTTCCTAAAGGGACCAAAGCGGTATCCCCTTCTAGGACGGCGAAATAATTGTCCAGAAAGTACATTCCGAGAATCATCCATTTCATACAAAGATCCAGGCCACGATAATAGCTACGTGAAGCCCCTGGAACGAGAAACGTATGGTCCGAAGAGACGGCGTAATTTTTCAGAAGCACGCGGTCGTACGTAAAGGGATGCTTTTGAGCGATCTCGTAATTTCTCAGTTTCTAATTCAATCACCAGCGAGCACGTCGTCGGGCACCGCACGCGTTTCCATCTTCGGGAAAACTTGCACGCAAATTCTGGACAGAGCGTCTTCTCCTACGGGAATGAAACTCGGTGCCTTCTGTCCGGAGCTCGCCTCATCCTCGAGCAGATAGCAGAGTTCAAATGCATTACACCGGCGAGTAGTAAACTGCTACCAGTTGAGCAGACTCGGCTTATTTCTTAAGCGGATACTTGATTATGCAACGCTCGTGTGCCTCCCCGCGGAGAACTGGAAATCCGCGAGTAACAGCCGACATCGTACAACCGAGGAGTATGTTTCGTGGTCACTTCAGTTAATCTCTGAATTTACTCCAACTCATGAAAAGGGCTGTTAAAGATTCGACCTCTTCGATCTTGAATTTTTTTTCAAGGGTAGAATGGATATTGTGAGCCTCGGAGTGAGTTAATTAGTGAGTGGAGGTGAGTTTTAATGTTCAGAATTATTTTTATTGGTAGTGTAGAATTCCTTGAGCTCGTGAAAAGGACTGTTAAAGCTTCGAGCTTTAACTTCTTTGATCATGAATTTTTTTCCATAAGTAGAAAGGATATTGTGAGTCTCGGAGTGAGTTGATTCAAGAGTGGATGTGAGTTTCAATGATTAGAATTATTTTCTTTGATAGTGTACGAGTGTTTTATGTTTATTCCTAGCATGGGAGTTAATTTAACCGTAAAGTAACATAAATTCGAATGACGAATTAAAGTTCCCGAACAAAGTTCTGTTAATTTCAACACAACTAATTTCAGGTCACTGAATATCTACCAACTTTGGAACGATATCGCGCGTGGTGAATAATTTAAACGGAAAAAAGAATACTGTGGTTATAATAAATTGAACAGCTGCGGAACTTTTAGCGCTCTGATTCGAATTTAAACTTTCGTTAAACAATCTCTTATATTCAATCTTTTACCAAATTAATATGTTCATTATTCACAAGAGATCAGTAACAAATATTGCTAATAAATTTACAACTGGTAAACATATTTGAAGCATCCCTGAGAAACACCATCGATAATTTTCGCAAAATATAAAAAGGAGATCACGTCGAACGTGTTTACCAAATATATATTCTCGTCTCGAGCGAATAAACTTCGCGAATCGAACGAACGATGTCAAAGTTTCCAGTTTTAGAGTCTCCCCATCGGGAATTCATTTTTTTTTCCTTTCGACTTCTTCGCATCCTGTCGGATATCTGGATACGTGTAACGTAATCCCTCTTCGGGTTTCCCGAATAGCATCGGTTCGTCGAATAGCCGTCGGTCTATTCGGAACGCTGCCTCGTTAGTACACCTTCGAAATGTCTCTCCATCATCATCAATCATCGTCAAGCAGGGCGACGATATCCATTGGTGGTTGACAGGGATTGATCCGTGAGGGAAGTTGGTGTAATAAAACCTCGTTTGGCTACGACTTCGCTAATACACCGTCGCGGAGCCCACGAAAGAGCCAAACTATCCTCGTCGCGGTGTCCTTCGAAACTCCGAATGGAGAAACTGATCAGGGAATCTAAATGGATACCTTTGCGAGCGTTCATGGGTTGGTCTTTGCTAATTTTCAGTGAATTTGTGCGAGGTCGCGTGTCATGTTAGTCGCGATTTGTTCGTTTCACTCTAGATAAATTTGTATTGCACTTCATTTTCAAAAAAATGAATCACTGTGTTGTTCTAGGGACAAACTTTTAGGATTTGAACATGAGGATATTTTATATTTTATATTATATATTTTATATTTTATATTATATATTTTATATTTTATATTTTATATTTTATATTTTATATTTTATAT